TAAATGTGTAAGGCAAGTACGATTATCACCTGATTTAGTAGTCCTAGACTGAGCACCTTGACCCCCCTTTCATCAGCATCTAATATTGCCTTTTCGATCAAGTTGTTAATGGATTCTCTTTCCCAAGTCATGCCATACTGCAAGAAAGGAAATTGTCAGTAAGGTACTAAGGTGTTAGATCATAAAGCACCCCCCCCTCCAAAAAAAAAAAAAAGTCAAGTACTTGGAAGTTGTATCTTGGTATTGCCCATGTCTGCATCTTGAACTTCTTCATTTTGAGTCTCTCAATGACAAATGCAGATGATCCATAAACCCATGCCAATACCATTGACAGACACGCCACAGGCCATATCATCCAGCTATACCATATTGGGTTGTCAGATGGTTTGGAAGCAATGGAGGCAATCCCAATCCTTAGATGATAAGTCGATTGCAAGGTGGTCATATGTGTCAGGTGAACCAGATCTGGTGTTTCATCTGTGACTTTCAGTGATTTCTCATAAAGCTCATCGCTTGACTTGTCCATGGTGTTGTACATGTAGTCGTACAATGGCATGAACAGCGAGTAGTTTGTGCGGAACTGGGTGTGATGTAGAGAGTGAAACCTGTAGGACAAAACGATGGTTGAGACTTGAGAGGTATCATTGCCCCCCCCCCCCAAAAAAAAAATCCTGTTCACATGGGAATTCAAGGGATCCCAAATCTCATCACCTGGTACTGGTTGACAAGATTTGTATTTTCATGTTAAGATGTTATACTTACGATGGGGTGTACATGAGATACTTCAGAGGAGGGAAGGCTTTGAAGATCCACTTTGGTACCAGCTCAAAATTGCAGTGCCCCATATTATTCATGAAGTCAATGTACGCAATGTACAAGACAATGGCCAGAACAGAACCACAGCCCATAAAAATGGGTGCTATTGTCGGGATTGAAAACAACATGAAATATACCACATGTTCAGCAAATGGATGGATGACAGCTGTCAGTCATACAGTAAATTGTGTTAGAAGGAAAGAAATTGTGAATTGACTGCAAAATATTGCATTGCCACGCTTTCTGTAACACAAAAACACTAAGGTGACTGCACATAAATGAACATTTAGTGATTTATTGCAGCAATATTAGTGTATGGTGTTTTGTAGAAAAATTTGAAATAGATTGGGTGCTGAAGGACAAGAAATTACTACTCTGGTCATAACTGTCTTTTAAGGTTTCAGAGGACTGTCCTTGTAGTTTTGTACTCTTTTTTCTTGGGCACATTTATTCTTTCAAATTATTATGCTTACAGCACCAAGTTATTCTCTCATCAGCTTGACTGTTGTTGTGAATAAGTAAAAAAAAATCCAATTGCAATAAAAAATATGAACATCACACATTCTTCTTATGCCCATTTTTTATTCCTTTTTTTTAATGAAACGCTGTTCTTTGTTCTTATTTAAATATCTTGGATTCAATGAGGAGTGCTACCCGAAGTAATAATGGGTTCGTGCAGGATCTGTATTTTTTCTACCTATTGAACTAGACTCGGGGGACCTTTTTTATCTAATATGCAACAGAATTTGTGTATAGCTTTATTAAAGTAGAAGATCGAGTTTTACTCCACGCGTCTGGCAAGCCAGCGCTAGAACAGCCGTTGGTCCAAATGGATTATGGCTGGAACGATTACCTGTTGGTCCAACTAGATTGGAGGATAATAATATGATGGATTCATTGTGGTAACTCAGATAACTTTTTCCACAAATGGTGGTGGGAAAGTGTCCCTGTGTGGCTTCATTTGGCGCCTGAGGCCTATGGGCCTGCTATGTATATAAACTCTATTTCCTTCCTTAATTGAGAGGCAGAGCTCCTGCCAGTTTTTCAAAAAAAAAAAAAAGATAACTGTTGCTGTTACTTACAGGTTATGGGTTCTGTGACGATGGAGGCATGGTGGTGTGAGTGGTAGCGAGAATAGAGGAAATGGTGGTGCAAGGCTCGATGGAACCAGTAGTAGAGGAACTCAACAGGCCCCATGTGAAGAAGCACAGTGACGATGGCCCCATCAGTTCTCCAGACCGGAAGGAGCCTGACATTAGGGATCATTGCATAGGCCAAATAGAACTCGAGCCCATTGAAGATGATCTGGTCATCCCTGTATACAGAATGGTAAGGACTACGTTATATTGCAGTGCAGATGTGCAAGCTGCCTAGTTAAGTTAGCCAATGCAACAATATCTGATATGTGCGTGTATGTATGTGCAGTAACAAATGGTTGCCCGTGATACTTACCAGGACCTCTCCCGGTCCACCTGCTCGAACTCAATACTACGGTCCACGATCACGTTCTTTCTGCGAGCGGTCTGATAGCGCGACAAGCTGATCCAGATTTGGTTGTGGATCATCCTCAGCAGAAGGGCTGGTAACATGGTGGCATATGCTGGGTCAAGGTCTCCCCACCCCTTGGTTGCCACCCTGTGGGCAGTGTGCAGCACCGCAGGTACCAGGACCAGGTACTGTCCATTCAACACAAACTTTGGGTCAGTTCTGATGGGATAATGAATGCTTGTAAATGTGTTCGTATCTTTCGGTCGTTCTGAAGTTATTGCTGTAGCCTGCAAGGCATGTCAGGATTCATTTTCTCATGCAGTCATTTATATGCACAACTACTCTCTGCATTTTTATTTACATATCGTATTAGCTTTGTCCTAAATTAAATATTTGTATTTCCTACCATTAATTTCAAAAAAATATAGAGATCCATGACATATTAGGTTCATTATGAGAAATACTTTTACAATATGTAGTTTATATGTTATGAAACAATAAGATTTTTTTCTTTGAATGGTCAAAAATATTAGTGTTTGACTTAGAACAAAGCTAATGTGACATATAGAAAAGAACGAAGGGAGTACCACCAGTGATTTAGGCTTGATACAATAAAAAGTTTGTGACTTCACGAGGATCAGGCCGATGTGAGCTGACTAATTTTAGCAGAAGGTAAGTACATAAGCGGCTTAAATCTCTTTTTAGAATAAAAAAACCTACTGAGCATTTATTTTCAGCTACAGTCAACTGGGCCTGAAATAATGGCCGATGCTTCAATCTTTCTGCGCACCCATTATTGGTGCATGTTATTACACTTCACTATGAAAGTTACCAACGGTGACCTAATCAGGCTCCTTTTTTTTGAAACAAACCTAATCAGCCTCCTTCCGTCGTTTTCTGAACCATTTTATGGAACTGACCATGCCATACTGTGAAAAGGACACCCCCGACCAAAGTCATGTCACAACTAAGCGCGTGTTTAGTTCCCACCCCAAATTCCCAAAAAGTGCTACATTAGCCATCACATCGAATCTTGCGATACATGCATGAAGTATTAAATATAGACGAAAAAAAAACTAATTGCACAGTTTGGTTGGAAATTGCGAGACGAACGTTTTGAGCCTAATTAGTCCATGATTGAACACTAATTGCCAAATAAAAATAAAAGTGCTACAGTAGCCCAAATTCTAAACTTCCCTAAACTAAACACGGCGTAATTCAAAACGATGTCAACAAAACCAATAACCTAGAATCATGCCAAAACTATCTTAAAGAAACCATGCCAATAAAATCAATAAGCTAGGAAATATGTATCTTATGCGTCTATAACCCCTATAACAGGTTAGAATGAATGCAAGTATATTTGTTGGATAACAGCAGGGTTCTCTGTCACACACACACCGCTGCCGCCGCCGCCACATTTCTAGCTCTACCGTGCTAATTTGACGCAGAATCTAATCATCAACCAATTTCTTTATTTTCTTCTTTAACTACTCCATTAGCTGTGCTTGTTGATCCTTGTGGCCACGTCATTAGCTAAAGAACAGAAACACTATCTCCCTCTGTCAAAATCTGAAACCTAGCTAAAACAGTCAAATATTTGAGAGAAACAGTAAAGACAACACGGAGGATATGTGCGTAAGTCGATAGCTTTGCATACCTTGAAGTTCCCCATCCATTGCCATGGCCATTCTGTCAAAGGTCCCGGGCGTGTTGCCATGGTGATGAAGGGGACCTTGCTGTCTTCCCGGGATAAGCAGTTCCCTCCCTCAGCTTCAGCTTAGCTATGCTATGTTGGTAACCGTTTCAAGCTCCCATCGCATTTTATATGCAGGGTGCAGGGGACTTCGCAAAAAACACCTCCATAAGTATATGTTTTCAAAAGCCTCTGAGACTCTTACATTCTTCCTTTTTGTCAGTCACCATGTGAAAATGCTGTGCAGCTCTTAGTATTATAATGTAATAATCTAGTTTTTTTAAAAAAAAAAGAATTGAGATTCTTGAGGATATATCACGCGAAATGAGATTGTGTTAAAAAAAAGTGCTAATATCCATAAACTGAAATTGAAATAGGATGTAATAGAATATTTGTTAGACCTGTTCACGAGTTAGCTAACCTTGAGTGACCTAAAAAAAGACTATCGACTGAAATTATATATAGGGCATATTTGGGGCTGCTCTATGAACTCTGCTCCACGAACTCCACTATAGAGCAACTCTACAGAAAATTCTGGAGTTTGTGGCGCACCCTTTTAGTTGCTCTCACAACTCCACCTTTTTTTTCTGGAGCAGAGTTGTGTGGAGCTAAACTTGTTTGGTTAAAAACGTGGAGCGGAGCGGAAAAACGTGGAGCGAAGCAGTTCCAAACACCCCCATAATAAGTATAGCACTCAATTTCCCGAATGATTTTACTACTTCTGTAATTAGAATGTAATACAAATGCAACAACACTCAAGCAAGGATATATACTTAAAGCGCCTTCAATGGCCAGCTCTAAGTTTAGCATTCGGTGTCACGTGAAGAGAGGGACTAAAAACTTTTAAGCCAGTTGTGAGGAAAAGAGGTAAACTCTTTTGTGCGCTCTGATGCTTGGAATAATAGCGGAGCAGATCATGCGCCATCGCTAACAGGCCGGTAGCGATGCTCCCAATTAATACAGTAGAGTCGACGTCGACGACGACCAAAGGTTTGATAGATTACTCGGCCAGCTTGTGGTATCTGTGCTCCTTCCTGCTGCGACTGCGAGTGCGAGGTGGCGCGGGGAGCCTAGGCACGGCGAAGCACCGGCACCGGAACTGCCGCCGGAGCCGGTCCAGGCCTTTCACCCTGATCCTCTGCCGCAGCCGCTTCATGATCTTGTCCAGGACGGCCCTGAAACCCTTGTGCAGCTTCTTGCTCGCTTTCGCCAAGCTAATGAGCCGCCGTCTCTTGCTCCCCTTCTTCACAACTGCATCAGGATTAATTGTGGTTGGGTCATTAGCCACTTCGTTCGTTATTCGCAGTATATGACAGATTCTGAGATAGTTTTTTTTTTCCTCATGAATGTAGCTTGCATCTCCAAATCTGTTCCAAATGTGTTCCATGCACAAGATTTTTGTTTTTTTTTACAAAACATGCAAGATTACCTTGAGACTCTAAATGGCATTTTCCGGCCGGGTGGCGGATGCCGGGGCCTGGTTTAGATTGCAAATTTTTGCAAACTAGACACTGTAGCACGTTTCGTTTGTATTTGACAAACTTTGTCCGATCATAGACTAACTAGGCTCAAAAGATCCATCTCGTGATTTACAACCAAACTGTGTAATTAGTTATTTTTTTTTACCTACATTTAATGCTCCATGCATACGTCTAAAAATTAATGTGATAAAGAAAGAGTAAAAAAATTTGAAATTTGGAGGTGATCTAAACAAGGCCCGGATGGGTTTTACTTTTTCTCGTACAACCGCACCACGATAAACATATGACTGATCACGTGATCGGTCTTGTCCTGGGTCCCACATCCACGTGCATAGATTAAAATTATATAAAAATATACTAATATTTATGATACAAAATAAAATATTATTAAAATAATTATAAAATATATTTTTTATAGACCCAGTTGGATACATAAATGTTAATGTTAACATTGTAAACCCAATCAAAGTTAAACTTGTTTGATTTGTACTTTTGTCCCTTTGGACGGAGGCCGGAGGGAGTACAAGGCCTTGCTGATTTCGAGAAAGACGTGCACTCTGGGGAGCAAACTGCAAGATGCACGCATGGCGGCATATGGACCGGGGGGCGGCGCGAGCGCGACTGCGCGAGCGAGGGAGCTAGCGAGAGGTACCTTGTGACGACCGCTTCTTATCGTCGCTATTCGTGCCCCGTAGCCTCGCGTTCTGGACGGCCTCCGTCAGCGTCTCCAGCCGCTCCCGCATCCGGCTCTGGACGTGGCTCCGGGTGCACTGCAATGGCATCAGCGTCGCCGCCGCCGGCGTCAGCCACGGTGTTTCTTTCTGACTGTAATGGAAACGGAAACGGACGATCGAGGACGGATCGGTGGGTGGGCGGTTGGGCGCTGGGCGCTGGGCGCTGGCACAAGAACCTTGATGTGGTACTTGACGTAGGACTGGAAGTTGAGCAGGATCCACGCGGTTTTGGCGGCCCGCTTCCCCCTCACGTGCCGCGACAGGACGCCTGCACATGCGGGCCGGGGGCCCAAGTGGCAGATGAGACAGGTTGTTATTGTTACTCATGAAGCCCGGCCCACTACTAGAAGCTCTTAACTGGGAGGGAGTGCAGCAGCCAAAAAAAAAAAGTACCGAATGAGACGAAGCCGCCGTTGGTGGTGAGGTGTTGCACGTTCTCCCCGCGCAGCTCCGGCGGCGGGATCGGCGACCAGCTGCACTTGGGCGCCCTCGCGAACGAGTTCCCGACGTCCTGCAGCTCCTGCGCTAAAAAGTTTATCCGCGGCTAGATCTAGCTCCTTTTGAGCATACATGCATGCATACGAGTGCACGCGCTGGATTAAAGAGCAACGATGGATGCAATGCGTGCAAGCACACCGTACCGACCTGGAAGAAGGAGGTGGCGATGGCCAGGTCCGTGTCGTCCCTGAAGCGCATGGGGAAGATGGCGTTTATCGTCTCATCAGCCTGCGTGCAGGACGTACATGTACATTGCAGTACGTGTTAGCGATCGATCGAGCTGCATGGGCCAGTTTATTTGCATTGATGCAGGCTTCTGCGTTCCCTTGATTATATATTTCTCTGACAGTCTGAAGATATATTGGTTTCAATTAGTTTGTTGTGCGCACAAATTAAACAAGAATTGAACGCACCGTCCTGCTGACGAAGAAGGGCTCCCTCTGATTGTACACGAGCCTCATCGTGCCCGACGAGCCGGGGCTCCCCAGCACGTCCGTCAGCTGCGAGCTCAGCACCACGGATTGCAGCAGCGACACCTGGTTAATGGCCTTCACGCGATCTACATAGTATATTCAGAGCGCGATCGATCGGTTGTCCTCCCATTGAGAGCGTTGCTTGGCTTCTTCGTAGGGAGGGGTACGTACCTTTCTGCCGGGTGAGGCCGGAGAAGTTGAGCTTGAGCGTCAGGACGTATCCTTCCCTCGGCGGCTCCACGATCTCCGCGAACCTGCCATACGTCTTCCTCGTCTCCTGCAGGGTCAGTTCAGGCAGGCCGCCGCTCGACGAGGGTGTGGCCTCGTGGGAGAGCGATGGCGTCGATATCGACAGGAACACGTTCTCGGGATCTGACACTGAAGCCTGCAACATGCTTGCATGGTTTACGCGGATGATCACTCTTCGTGTGTTTCGCCATGTTTCTTCCCAGGGATGCTGGTGTTACATACCTCCACATGATAACGAATCGATCCAAACTCGAAGAAGGTATGGTCGACAGGCATTGGTCTTTCGGCGCTGCAACAACACACATTGGGTTTGGGTAAGCAGAGCACATATCAAGGTCCAGGGATTTCAAAATTTTGCTTGCCACATTCAAGTATTACAGTGTCAGTTTTTACTACACCACTTAAGCGAATACAGAGTGTAGAATCATCATGCCCAGAGAGAGCTACTCCGTTTACCATCGCACATACCAATTATAGACTTGATGTTTTTACAGCCAAACTACAGAAGAGTAACAACCTGCTACTCACCTCTGCATCCTCGTCAGGATTTCGACCAGAACACGGGATCCACTGCTGAAGAACGCCATGGCGTTGGCACAGTTCGGCACCCAGGAGCAGGACCAGGATCGGCTCCTTAAAGGGATCAAATAAAAGGGGAAAGGAGAGAAGAGAGGTACAAGTGTTGCTTTGATATCAGGGTCATGGTCTGGTGGATGAAAAAAACAAATTCACGGGACACCAGGGAGAGGACGACGGTGGGCGGTGGCTGCCTGCTGCCTGACTGGTGACTGGTGAGACTAGAGCCTCCCTAGAGGGTGTGAGGGGGACATCTCCTGGCTGCTGCTGAACTACTTCTGAAGCAACCTCCTGAGCTCAGCCATCCCGTTTGCTTTGTTTCCAATGCACTCCACAATCATTTCAGGGCTTTTTCGAATAACTCCACAGGCAAATATGGAAATCCTCGAGTGGTACTGAGTGTTGGATCTGGAACAGACAGTGCAGATCACACCCACCTCGTTTTTTTTTTCTACACCAATTCAAGATATTGGAGTAAACCTAACCTACCAGGTCCAACCTTTTCTGTTTATTAGAAATAAAAAAAAATCAGACCAACTGCACCTGTCAGTAGGTGAAACATGTGAATGACATCACCGACAGTATCGCTGACTGAGATACACAAGTTTATTCCAATTGAATTGCTCTTTCATGCTACAACATTTAAAGATAGTTTGGATCAAGACAACACGTCAATCACATCCTAATCTCCTTTTTTAAAAAGAAAAAAGCAGCAGATATCACATTCCTATGTTTGAATTTGAACCTAGGCAGTACAACATCACACGTTCAGCTCAACTGTGCAGGATGCAATACAATCCAGAATCCATGTATGAGGAATGGCTTTGCAGCCAACTGTGGCTGCCAGTTCTTGAGCCTCAGCTATTCTCTTATTGATGGTCTCAAGGGTGTCCATATTGTTTCCTTGCGGCGGCTCCATGCTGTAAAGAATCAAGGATGTAGTAGAGAGCTCAGCCTTCTCCAAAATGGAACCCCCTGCTGCGGCAATCAATTCTTCAAGGTTGGCCTTGTATCCCGGCATGAAATGGCCACTGAAATAGAAGGTCAACCCAGCAAACAGGCTTGGTGCCTACAGAAGGGGAAATGTATGCCGTCAGTACACCAACAAGATCGTTACAATGAAGTAATGGTTTGGCTTATTTACTCCTGGAATTCATTTGCGAACCTGCTGCGATGCTCGAAGCCTTCCTGTGCGAGGGCCATCGACAGAGCCATGAACATCACACCTGATCTCATAGGGCTCTTCTGGGATTGGTTTCCTAGCCTCGATACAGGCTTTCAGCCCTAAATATCAAATGCTAATTTGCATTAGAATAACTTCTTTGCAGAACAGGGCAGTCTAAGCAAAAGCAACCTAGCAGATGCAAGCAATATACTAGATACAGCACTTAGTTGAATTATCCTATCTAAGTTGTGGTGCCTCCAAAACCAAAGACAAACCACAGCATATATAATTTGATTAGCCCTGACTATATTTACTGATCTTCAGAGAAAATGGACTTACAATTCACATTGAGAACCCATTTCCCAGCTAAAATAGCCATGAGAACCTTGAGTGTCCTAGCACATGCCCCACGTTCATCCGTATTAGCAATCACATGAGTCACATCCGAACTCCAAGTGTTAGTTACTGTGATGCCAGTGTGACACTCAAACTGATCCAAGATTTCCTGAAGTTTATGAACATTTCAGGGCACATTACATACTTGAATAAGCTCTAAAGTACCTTAGTTATGAAGATCGTGTCAAAAAAAGCAATTACCCTCTCATGGCCAATGAGGGCAGATCCACATATAACCCATTCACTAGTCAGAAAAGGTGAAGCAGTCCAAAGCTCATCCCTTTGCATTGGAGAAGGTGAATTCATATCATCAGTGTCAGAAGATGGTCTGCAAAATTCAAAGAGGGGCCATCAGAAGACACAATCAGGTATAGCAAAACAGAGTCATGTATAACAGGCACAATGGCATACTGCTGCATCTTGGTCTTCTTTTTTGACTTTGATCTCTCACAAGGCAGCTTTTTTGACAAATGTGTAGGACACAGCATAACAAAGTTCTCCTGGAGCAAATCACATTTGTTCAGTGAGATAATCAACAAATATTTTACCACAAAAGGGAACACACTTTTCACTTGATACACAATGGACAATCCAGATTTAAGGAACAAAACTTACTTGATCCCATTTGCAGCCTTTGATGTTGTAGGCACATGGGACATGAAAACTTTTGCGACAGCTCTTCACAAGGCAGCCAAGTGCTGCACCTTTCAAGCCACAAACACTGCATTTGATCTTAGAAGCACGGACCAACTCAGGCTCCAAGTTGTTTGCAATGTCACCAGTAAAGAATGCTTGAGGAGCCCTGTATAGGAGTATGTGTACAAATCAGTGAAATAAAGTATGTGCTCATTCAGAAATAGTATCATGAAAGTTGCCAGGAACATACCATTCAACACACTTCTCATGGACATGCTGAACACTTGATTTCCAAGCTTGATCAGCTTCTATTGGCTCCCCATTCAGATAATGTGACAAAGGGCCAGTGCACTGTAAATTACAATTTACATTAGGTTCTTCGAGCATATATACAAGAAACAATCAGCAGGCCATATCCTAAATAATAGTAAACAAACTCCAACTCTTGTTTAAGTTCTACAAGACCAACCTCAGTGACTTGGGAAGAATGACAGAACTCACATTTCCAAGCACTGGCCATGGTTGTCTGTCCTGTATTTGTGTTGAATATCACATTAGCATCTTGCATTTCCAAATATTCTGAAAGGAGTTCAGGCAGGAAATGACTTACTTTGAACCTGATCATTTGATTTTTGCCTCTTCAATTCTCTGGTATGGTCATCCATTACATTTGTCTCTCTTTTCAATGCAGTTTGAAGAGGTGATCTGCTTGTTATCTGACAGAATAGCACACATTTAAGAGTGAGTCTACACAAAGTATTTTTCTAAACAACTTTTGAAAAAAAGAAAGGGGAAAAAAAGGGAGTTAGTCTAGATAGAATAGAATTCTACCAGTTCTCCTTCAAGGTCATTGCTGTCACAATCCAAATCTCCAGGGCCGTCAGAAGATTGTGACCCAGAATGTCCCTTTTGCACGAGAGCTGTTGGTGCACCAGCTGCAGCACCAGCTTTGTTCTCAAATGAAGGATCTTTTGTTTGAACACCATCAGTGTTCCCAAATGCAGGTCCAGTTGATTGGTTATATACAAGCTTTGAAGCAACAGGGTTGTAAGATTTCATCTGGTCAGATTTCTCCACCACCCCACTTCTGTTTCCTGATTCTGGTGTTCCATGAGATGCTGTCTTTGCATCTGAACAAAAAGAAAATTTTCCACATCAATCAAAACTTTTGACAGACTATTAGTTATTAACAGTGCTTGAAGTTCATATTCTGAAAAAAAATGGACGTACCAGGAATGTTAACTTGAGCATCCTGTTGTTCAGTCATGGTGCTGACGGTAGAGCTGAGGCTCCTGTGAATGCTCACTATTGACTCGAGATGAGAAGCTGGCCTTAAATCTGCAAACAAGGCTGGGGTCAAATAAAGAATCAAGGTGTCAATCAGAACTCTGAAACTATTCAGTAAGCCGTGATGTACCTTGAGAACAATAGCCTGATTTGCAAATGGCACAGCTGTAACCTTTTGAAGTCGGTGTAAGGGCACACTTGCTGAAAGAAAGGAACAAACTTGTTACTTTGTCAGTCGCCACAACTCAGCAGGGCAAGATCAGTGGAGGGTGACGAGCGTTCGTCGATTGAGGTGTCTGAAGAAACTACCTGCAGGATGTGTGGTAGCACGGCAGCGTTGTCGGCGAGGTGAGCAACTTCAGGCTGACAAACAAAGTTTTCACCGTCAGATGACAAAGCAGTTCAGTATACGAATCGATTCATTCTCATGCTACTCCGATGCTCGCAGTTTGCCTGGATCTAGCTCTAGCTAAGTTCGCCCCCGCTGCTGCGGCTATGCTAAGCTTAGGCGTGCTACTACAAAAGGATCGATGCTTGCCAGTTTGCCTGGATCTAGCTCTAGCTAAGCTCGTCCCCGCTGTTGCCAGCCACGCTAAGCTTAGGCGCGCTGAGATCTTGGACCATAAAAAATGTCATTTCGATATCTAGAGTTCTAGACCGAAAGGCAAAAGCAAAGGACACAAGGGATGGTTTGACCCACCAGACGGGGCAGGTGAGCTCCAGCTCCATCTTCTGCAGGTTGAGCACCAGCGGGTTCAGGAGCCTCCTCAAGTTCTCCATCTTCTCCACCCACGACACGAACGCCCCTTCTTACTACTCCCGCCTCCCCCTCCCCTCCCTCCGATATCCCTTGGAAAGGGCTACGGCCGTGAGGGGACAAAGAGCCGGAGCGCGAGACAGATGCGGTGCCGACTGCCGAGGGACTTGGAAGCTTGAGCTGGGAGCTGGCTCTAGCGCCAGTCAAATACGCGGGGAGAGGGCGGCCAAACGGGGTTTCGGGACGGGAGGGAAGTGGTGGCGGGCAGGCAGCCGGCTGAACGAAAATGTTTGGGCGCGAGCGCGTGGGCGGTCTGTGAAACCCGACGCCATCCCATCCGCGGGAGGCGGGAGATTTTCGGGCGGCGGGGACGAGTTTTATTGCCCCTTTTGGCCGGCGAAGCGGGTGTTTCGAGTGCCCCGCGCGCGGGCGGCGGCGGCACCTCGCGTCCCGCTCTCCTGGCGGGCGGCTCGGTAAGAAAGACCTATGGGACGAGGAGGGGCGCGGGGTGCGGGCTGGGCTGCGGATGGGGGGAGAAGTGATCAGTTGTTGCGGGCCTCGTGGGCCGGCCTGTTGAAACTTCAAACACCGGCCTGTTTGTTTTGGATTAAAATCAGATTTACGGTTGCTCCACGCAAGATATAGGATAGCCGTCACACAACAGTCCCAAACACGCTCTAAACCTTTCCCTCGTGGAAGCACAATCACCTTGTAAAAAGTCAAAAAAAAGAGACAGTCTATTCGGCAATTGAGTTTGCAAGCCCTAGAAACACCAAATTTTCTATTAGATCAACAAAGGACATCAGATCTATCCATTGTGTTGTAGCCACAACCCCATCTCGTCTTCTTCTTGACTTTACTCACACTACCGCCATGGCGCTTTCCCAAAGCTGTCTTTCTTATGCCGACGGCTATACCATCAAACTTCCTCACCACCGTCTCCTTATTGGTCGCCTCCAAGATATATTCCTATAGCATATTCGTCACTTTCCTCTCTCCTCATCGTTGTCGTCTTCTCCGATGGTGCCTTACTACTAGATCTGTCACTCCCTTCTGCCGCTATGCTAACATCAGGACTCATGATGCCTATGACTCTATCCTGCCCAACTAGCTTATCGATTTGACAAAGGTATCGTGCCAAGTAGGAAAAGGCTTCAAGTCCACGAAAAAAAAATCAAAACGTTTGTAGATGCAAAATAATTTTCTAAATCAAGAGATCCAAGCTATGAACGAATAAAAATCAAAACTAAAAGGAGATAGGTAAACCTGCGATTAGGGTTTGTACTTGTTAACGCCAGCATGGACTCCTACGAAGTATATGGTAGTGCCCAACCTTGATTCTTGTGCTCAATGAGGAGCAGTGCTGTGGCGTTCCTTTTTGTGATAGCCAATGATGCATAGGTGATGTCGGGTTCATAAACCCGAGGTCCCTCGAGGACCGGCTTTTCAACAAATGCTCGGCCCAACAGACAACGTTGCGAGCAACGCGCAACTCATGGGTCGGCCCAAAAACCTAGACGACAGGCCAGAAGAACGATCCAATCTCTGACCGGAAGGCCTGGCCAAGGAGGAACGACGTCCGCTTCCGACTCTGGCCCACCTCTCCGACCGGAGTGCTCACTTCAGTCTCCAGCCCGCCTTCGGACGGTCTCTCCGACCGGAAGGCCTGGCCAAAACACCACTTCCGACTCTGGCCCGCTTCTCCGGCCGGGAAAATGCCGGACCCCTGCCTACGACTCCTCTCCGACTGGCGCAATCAAAATCGACTGGGACCAACCGATCGGGGACGCCCGCTCGATAAGGACCAGAAAACAGACGGAGAATGTAAGGCAGCGTACTCAGGTCAACCGCAATACCGAGGACCGTACCCTGTACACCTGTAGGACAGTACCCTGCGACTTCCCTGACATGACAGAACGCAAGCAGTGTTGTAGGCGCCGACATTTTCCCTACAGTGTTGTGGGTGCCATCAACTCCCATACCAGACAAATATAGTAAGGCTCCCCCATGTGCCTCTGAGGCATCGACAGTGTTATGGGCGTCGGCATTTACCATGCCAGGCGAACATGGTAAAACCCCCTGCATGCCTCTCAGTAACAACACTATAGCAGGTACCGACATCTGCCATACCTGAAGAAGACGCAACCTCCCACGTGCATCTGACATTCAACAGTATTGTGGGCACCTACCATCGTCTTGTACCCGTCGGCGTGGGCAACAAGACTTAGCAGCGAATGTACTCCCTCCCTCTCACTTGTAAAGCCATCCCCTTCATCTATAAAGGGAGATGCGCTCTCTTCCAACAGATAGGTTGTTTCAGATCGATCAAGTTAACTAGTACACAACAGCAGAACCACCAGATTCAAACCACGAGCATACGCTCGAACACTTAGCATATAGCGGAGCTCCCGTCGCTCTTGGTCCCTCTGACCAGAGTCTGACCGGACCTCTTATACCCCCTATCTTTCTCCTCCTCGTTTGTAACCCCACTGCAAACTTCGAGCACCTGGGCTCAAGAATAAAGTCACCGACCGACTCAAACTGGACGTAGGGCACGTTGAACCAGTATAAACCCTGTGTCATTGAGTGCTATGCCACCTCCGATCACAACGTACGGCAAAACTATAAATATTTACGTGTTGGTCACTTTCTGCACCGACAGGTGAAAAAGCGAAGGAAAGGGGTACCCTAGCGGTGGGGTGAGGAGCTAGGCGAAGTGTGTGGAACCGATATAAATGGGAGAGACTAGGAGGGGGTAAAGGACAATATAGAGAGGTTTGGATTCCATATATCAAATAAAGTAAAAGATAATACATGGCTTTGTCCGGTGTGAATGTTAAAACAAGAAATTTAAAATAAAATTAAAAAAGTGAAAAGTAGATCTTGTATCTATGGGCGCTCACATGGTCTTAGAGCCCGGTTTCTTGTTTTGTGATGAACCACGAGGATTGTGAGGGGCTTAAAAAAGATGGAAACCAATTACCCCCCTTAGTGATTGCTTAGTTAATCCCCAAACCGAGGTGATTGAAGGTGGTTTTGACTTGTAGAGGATAAAGTCCCTCTCAATTCCCTCAAATCCCCTGGATACGGGATTAATCGAACAAATTCTCAAGCAACTGGTTCAACACCAATTCGATAAGAACATTTAAGGTTGGATGTTTCATTAGATAGCCCATCACTACCCTCCTTCCTTGCCCACCGCCCTAGGCTCCTCATGTACCGCTACCGCCCCCATCCCTCTATGTAGCGACCTCGCTAGTACCGATGACGAACGAGTACACTCCATTGTCCAACCTAGTCACGAGATCGAAATAAATTGTGTCCCGTGGCTACACTAGATGGCATCGTCTTGTTAATTTCTCGTCGAATCTTGTTTCTTGTAGAGAATTCTAGTGCGAATGCTTATCTAGGCATTTAGCCCGATGTTCTTCACGTCCATCTTTGTTTTAGCATGGTTGATGCAGTTATTGAGTATGTTTTTGTTCCTTCTCATTTGAATCTATGTGTTACTGCTTTACTGGACTCCAATATCATGAGGACTGAAAGTTATCCAAACCTCCAGTTTCATCATGGCTGGTAGCAATGTTAGATTAAAATTTAATGTGTTAGATGCACCTTGAGAAGTTCTCGAGGTGTTAGACCATGCGTTGTTTTCAAGGTCTGGGGCCTATCATTGCGTGGCGATTCGAGAGTGATGCTCGGACAATGGTCATTGGCGTCGCTAAGTTTTGACGTATTGGAACTAAGCAAGCATGAATTTCATAGATTATAATTTAAGAGAGTCATTATGGGGCTCTAGATTTATTCGAGCATATCTTTCTTACTATTTTCTAGAAAGTTAGATGTAAATGGAGATGGAAGGCAATTAACTTTTGTTTTAATAGAATTCCTTTCAATTCAAAAAAAATAAGAGGATGGGGATAGGGTCACATCTCGTCATCGCAAGAGTGGACAAAATTAGTAACTCTTATATGAGCAGGGCAGGCCAAGAGGAGTCTCTGCATCTATGTCCACACACTTCAAAGGGTGACTTTGTGTACTTTGGAATGCGATACTAATGTGCCATGTTCGTTTGGTTTATAAGCCATGACTGAAAGTACTGTTGGCTGATTTGTTGTGAGAGAAAAATATTGTTCGTTGGCTAAAAATATATAGCTTATAAGTCAAGCGAACAGGGCGTGTAGCCAGTCTGTTGGTATGAGCTGGGAGCAGGGAACGAAAGGATACAATAGCATATATATAGTTTAATGCCTAACAAAAATGAGAAAATTAACGAGGGCGCTGCGATCACGCTTAGACGACAAAGTCAATCTAATGAATCGTACTCCAAAATGTGGATTGTCCATATATCGTATATTGTCCTTCCACGAGCCATCGACCAACACTAATGCAGCGATGAATGAAAAGATCGAGTAGATCAGCACAGGCCCCACCCATTATGAGTTCATGACAGCTTGAAATGGACCAGGGGGGGTACAGGAATCAAATTGCTTGGAGGCATTTATATATTTATGTGTATACCAGCAATCAAACCAACCATGGCAACAACAACGTCCAACCAAGCTTCCTCTTGGGAAGAAGTTGGGAACTGACCTACCCATCTTATTGCCCCCCAATAAATAAACAACCAAGAATTTGAAAGACTGCTGGAGAACCAGGATGACTCGCAGGTCATCGATGAAACTCCAGATCGACCTAGCTACTTTCTATATACGTACACATCAGCAACACACACACTCTCTCTCTCTTCGAATTTCTCTTTGAAAGGAAAAACTCGAACACCATGTCCTATATAATATATATATAACCAGAAGGCATGCATTCTCTGCAACCTAAACGACCGATTTTTTCTTATTGGGGCGGGGGTTTGTTCTACCAAATGAATGTCTCGCTGATCACATCGAAAAATGTTAACCAAGAACACCATCAGCCATGAACATTACTGTCGATGCGGGGCCCACAGGATACCCCATAAGGGAGAGAGAAGATCTAGTTCAACTAGGATTCTTCCCATGTAATCTTA